CGGCGACTCCTTCTCCCCCCCTCCCACGCGGAGAAAACTTTCTCCAAACTTTCTCCAAAACTTTCTCCGCAACTTTCTCCGCTCCGGACGCGGCGAAGAAACTTTCTTTTCTTTCCTTTCTTTCGTTCTTTTCTTTTCTTGGGGGGTGTTTTTTTTTTTCAATGGAACCCCCCCCTCCCGTGGGTGACGTCACCGCATTCCACAGCGTCACGTGGAGCCTGGGAATTCCTGCCACTTCCGGTGGGTGGGTGGGAGGGAGGCGGCATGGGGTGGGGAGGGGGGGGACATGTGCAGCCCCCTGGGATGAGGCTGGGGGGGCGCCCCTTTCGCCCCCCTCACCTGCAATCTGCACAGGTGGGAGCTCCAAAGCCCATGCTCCCCAGCCCCGCAGGGGTTAGACGACTGGGGGGGGGACACGGGGGGTCGCAGTCGCCTGCAGGGAGATTGGGGAAGAGGAAGAAAACTTATTGGGACCCCCCCTCTTGGAATTCTCCCCATTGGAGTCCTGTCTAAATGCGGGGGGGACGGGACGGGACGGGACTCCAACGCCCATGCTCCCCAGCCTGCATGGGGAGGGGGTGACATTTGGGGGACTCCTTGCAAGGGGAAGAAAGGGGAAGGTTCCCATCGGAGTCCCGTCTGAGTGCCTTGGGGGGGGACGGGACACACTCACTCCAATGCCCATGCTTCCCAGCCGGCATAGGGAGGGGAGGGGGCTGCAGCCTCCTGCACGGAGGGCGCCAGGTTGGGGAAGAAGCAGCTTCCCAGGACGGACAGACACACACACACACACACACACAAACCCCTTGGATTTTTGGAAGGGGCTTTCCGATTAGCAAGAGTCAGAGGGGACCCTGGAGGTCATCTAGTCCAACCCCGCCCAAGGAGGAGACCCTGCACCCTTTCTGACCGAAATGGCATGGGGACTCCAACCCCCAGCAGCCTTGCCCTTGGCCTGGGCCGGCTAAGCATGCTGGGACATGTAGTTCCCGCACAGCTAGGCGAGGGGGGGGAGAAGGGGAGGGCCGAGGGAGGGGCTGGCAGAGCCCCCCCCCTCCGTCCCCCAGGGGGGCACCAGACAGACTCGCCCGCCCGGCTGAGACAGAGGCAGGGTGTGCCAGCCGCTCGCTCACTCGCCCGCCGGGGGTTTCGTCACCCGGCAAGTTGCCGCTTGCCTGGGGTGTGTGTGAGTGTGAAATTGTGTATTTGTGTGTCTCCGAATCCCCAGGATTTGGGGAGGGGGGGGCTACAAAGTGGGGGGGGGGAGATAGACACTCCTTTTTTCTCCTTCGTCGTCCCCTCCCGCAGGAAATTCTGATCTTCTTCCCTCCAGAAGGTGAGTTAGTGACACGGTCGTTAAGTGAATCCGGCTTTCAGAAGGTCCCCAGCGACCGTCGTAAATGCGAATCGGTTGCCAGGCGTTTTAATTTGGATCGGCTGACCGTGGAGGGGCTGCGGCGGTCGTAAGTGGTGACAAGCGGTCGTAAGTCGCTCTTGTCAACGCCGTTTCTAAGTCTGAAGTGAACGGTCGTAAATCGAGGACTACCTAAATGTGGCCCGAGCAGGGGGTTGGACTGGATAACCTCCAAGGTCCCCTCCAATTCTGTTACAGGCAGCCCACGACTTACCCTCGTTCATTTAGCGACCGTTCTATGTTACAACGGCACTGAAAAAAGTGACTTACGACCATTTTTCACACTTAGCGACCGATGCAGCATTCAGATTTGCATTCTGGGGATGCTTGACTGCTTCATATTTATGACAGTCGCAGCGTCCCAAGGGGTCACGCGATCCCCTTTTGCAACCTCCTGACAAGCAGAGTCAACGGGGGAAGCCAGATTCGCTTAACGGCCTTGTAACTCACTTAACAACTGCAATGATTNAAGGTTGAGAAACACTGTCCTAACCACTGCTGGGGAATTCTGGGACTTGAAGTCCAGACATCTTCAAGTTGCCAAGGTTGAGAAACACTGATTTAAGAGAGAATTTAGAGAAAGGATTCGTCAAATACCCATCTGTATGTCATAATAGGGGAAGCAATAATAACAGGGGGAAATTTAAACTCGAAGGATGGATGTACTAAATTATAACTCAACCTGAACCTGGGGTAGGTTTGTTAAAACGTAATAAAATACGACGAAAACGTATCGTACGCAGAAGAGGCGGATCGATATCAAGATGACATTCCGAAACATCGAATAATTCAAAGTAATGAAGGGTTAAGTTGAATCAGCAAATCACAAGATCTTGATTTTAATAGACACGAGGGTATTATTAAGAATATATAAGCTTCTCCGATGAATCCATAAATATGGTGGATCATCTTTTACCCATATTAAAAGGTACGATAAATTAAGATCGGGCGAATGGTATAAAAATCCCTCCGGGATTGGGCGGTATACAAAATCTATGAAAAACTTAAACTTAAAACTTAAAACAACGTACTGAAATGTGGGATAACTCAACAATGAAAGACATAGAGTTTGGGAATACTTGAGGAGCAGCTATCCTCAGCCTCATTCTCATACACCAACTGAATTTCTGCAGCATTCATCGTTTCATTCTAGGGAGGCGCGTTACGATTAGCGTCCTATAAACTTGTTAAAGCGAAAACAGGCGCAAATTCACGCTCATTTCCCAGTAGGAAAAGTGTGTGACCCGCCGAGGTGAAATTCCGCACGCGGGATAGGGTTTGTAAAAGATTTTTTTTAAAAAAAAACATATATATATATATATATTTAAAAAGATATGACTGCCCTTGCACATGGAGGCTCCATTAAAAACCACCCCCACCAAGTCTTTTAAGAAAAAAAATATATACACGGAATTTTTTTTTAAGGCTCGGAAAACCCACCAAAATATTCGGCGGTGGGAGGATTGTTCAAATCGTACATCAATTTCTTGGTCAGGCGCTCCAGTTCTTCCTCCGGGCGGCACGAGGGGGGCTGCGGGAAAGAGAGGAGGGACTGGGAGAACGGACAACAAATTCGTCGGGAATTTAAGCCACTCGGCCACCTCTACAGGTAGCCTTACGACCATTCATTTAGTAATCGTTCGGAGTTACGATGGCACTGAAAAGACCGTTTTTTCACACTTACGACCGTTGCCGCATCGCCACGGCCATGCGATCGACATGGCAACGGACTCGTACTTACGACGGTTCGCCGTGTCCCGGGGGAGGGAGAGTTGCGTGATTTCCCCTTTCGCGACTTCCCGACGAGCCAAGTCAGCGAGGAAGCCGGATTCGCTTAACAACCGAGCGACTCGCTTAACAACGGCAGAGATGCACTTAACAACGGCGGCAAGGAAGGTTGTAAAAAAGGGGGGCAAAGCTCATTTATCAGCCGTCTTGCTTATTAATGGAAATTGTGGGCTCACGAAGTCAAGAATGAGCTTTACTTGCCGCAGAAAACATAAGACTCTGGGAATACTTGAGGAGCAGCTGTCCTCAGCCTCATTCTCATACACCAACTGAATTTCTGCAGCATTCATTCCCTCCCTCCTGGGAATCGGGATTGCATTCCATTCCCGGATGGTACCCCTTCCCCAGAAATACCCCTACCCTGCCTTCCCCTTCCCCATCATCCCCAGCAGCTAGAGTTACCTGATGGGGAAACCTCAGCCCGCCACTGCTGGCAGGAATCAGGGACGCCGTCAACTCCTCCTTCCCAGCTTTTGCCAATCCAGACTGGAACTGCCCCACCGGCGCCCCCACCCTGCCCTGCCCGGCAGGGCCAGCATAAAACTCCACCTCGCCCAGCCGCTGGCCATAGGAGGGAGGCTCCGGATACCAAGGCTCGGCTTCGTGGGGTCGGGCACGGGGCCCTGGTTCGGAGGCATACTGTGGCGGAGGCTTCACCCCGTATCCTATCTGGGGAGACAGGGGTCCGTAGGCCGGCTCGGCTCTGCGCCTGGGCTGGTTGTAGCCCACCACCGGTTTGGCCACCTTCACCTGGACGTTGAAGGGGGGCCCAGCTGAGGAGGACGCCGTGGCGTACGAGGCGGGCATTGGCTGCGGGTACGGCTTCGGTGCCAAGGGGGCGCGGTGGTATCCATAAGGATCTCCCGAGCCAGGGGAGCTGTACTGGCAGGGCAGCACTGGAGCAGCTGGGTACGGGGATCCAGAGGCTGGCGGGCCTCCATAGGGGAGGGTCTTGCCATCTGGCTTGGCGGGCACGAAGCCGCCCGAAAGGGTGGGCTTGTAGGTAGCCGGAGCCGGGCTGGGTTTGGGGGCGCCAGGCTGCAGATGTGGATACGGCACGGATTCCGCGTTCTGCAATAGACGGTTAACACAATCAGGGTCCAGGTAGAGAATTTAGGGGGGGTGGAGAAACATGCAGGAACACTGTCTTGTCCTCCCGTCCGTCCCGTCCCCCCCCCCGCACGTTTCCTCACCGCCCGTTCGCTCCGGCGCTGCTGGCTGCTCTCCATGTCTGCCAACATGCTGGTGAGCGAATCTATCTGGACATCGAGGTTGGTGGGGTGAAAACCCCGCAGCTGCTCCGGCGATTCTCCCTCCTGGTGAAAAATATAATTTGTGTCTGTGTGTGTGTGTCTCCCTGATCGAGGAAGTTATTTGGACCACTCCGAACGGATCTGGGCTTCTGTAATGTGGTAACTCCCCACTTTTGCCAACGTCTGCCCCCCCACCCACCCCGCCATCCAAGGGCTGCACCTGTTGACCCTCGGCCTGCCCTCTGTCGGCAGAAGGGTGCCAGGGCTCAACAGAAAGAGCTAGAAGTCCCACTGTAGAAAATGGGACTCCCCGCGGCTAGTACAATCCCGAGAGTCATAGTTCCGGCTAGTTAGAAACTACAACTCCTAGAAGTCCACTAGGCGCCAACACAGTAGAGGGCACCAGGTTGGGGGAAAACCACAGCTCAGCATTGTAGCTCCACTCGGCTTCCTCCGCCAGGCCACTCAAAGCAGAAGTGGTATTCAGTCAGTTTGGTTTCACCCAAACCCGTAGTGGAAATCGTGCGTGGGCACAACACTCCCCACCCCAGTTCTGTGTGCTGTCCTATTTAGCTACGTTTTTTAATCCAGGCGCACGTCCGAGCGGGTGCGCTTGTGCGGAAGGCTGGGTGCATGTCCCCTCCCCCCCAGCCAAGCAGGGTCAACCCGTTTCTCTCCTTACCTGCAGGGTGTAGCTGGGAGGTGTAGCGCTATCCCAGGATCCCCGCGACCCTCGCTCGCTTACGGAGGAGTAGGGGGAGTCTGTAGGAGAGTCCTGAGGATGGAAGGTGGGGCCTGGGGCAGAGGAAGAAGCAGGAGAGGGATTCAAACTAAGGAAAGGGCAGAGGGGATGGAGCTGGGTTCTCCAGGTGTTGGGATCTAGAACTCTCAGGCTTGTCTGCCCGCCCAGTAGCAAGGTCTGCTGGGAAATGTAGTCAAATGACATGTTTCCATTTTAGAATACAGACATGACTCGTATTATTCAGAGATCTCCTTCTGGCTCAGCCCACCCATCCATCTTGGGTTTCCATCCAATCTGTCTGTCCATCCATCCATCCATCCTTTCTGTCCATCTATCCATCTTCTGTCTCCATCGATCGATTAAGCGATCGATCCATCTATCTTATCTGTCCGTCCATCCATCCATCATCCATCGTTTCTGTCCATATATCTATCTATCTATCTATCTATCTATCTATCTATCTATCTATCTATCTATCTATCTATCTATCTATCTATATAATCTATCTATCTATCCATCATCTATCTATATATCATCTATCTATCTATCTATCTATCTATCTATCTATCTATCTATCTATCTATATCT